CAGACTGAAGAGGCTACGTTGGAAGAGTGAAGAGCCTCGGCGAGTGACTTCCAGAAAGGACTTCGCAGGACTTCAAGGAATGACTCCGCAGGACTTGAAGGGAAGACTCCGCAGAACTTCAAGGGAAGACTCCGCAGGACTTCAAGGAAAGACTCCGCAGGGCTGTATCTACATATTGCGTCAACTTCGAGGGACGTCTTCGGTGAGTTAGAATTTTGCATGATTTTACCTAACCATGCTTTGTGTTTTTTTATTTTTCAATTTTCGATGAATGATAATGAAAATTTGAGATTGTAAATAAACAAGAGATGGCCAAATCTAAACCCTTATAGTTTTGTGGTTTTCAGTTTTTAAATTTGTTTAAATGACACATTTGCTTCGTCCAACAGCCGTACAAAATGGAAACTTAAATTTAATCACAAAACTCTTTGTCAACACCACAAAAAGACTTGTCTGGTTTAATTTTCTAATTGGATGAATAAAATTGTATTAACAATTTTAACTTTTATAACCTTTCAAGCTATAAAAATTTAATCATGAACTGGCCAGCTTTCAGTAAAAAAAAGACAATTTCTCTGATCACTTGCAAGAAAAAATATCCACAATGTTATACACCATTACTTACTGTAGGCCACCTTTTGAAAAATAAAAGTACAAAGCATGTATCAGAATTGATTGGAAATTAAATTTTCTTTTATCATAGCGTTAAAAGCTCCTGCCTATCCCATATTGCTTGAGATCTTCTATTTTAGTTGCGTCCCTAATGCCCTTAAAAACAGTAAATTGTATTACTAATTAATATTTAAAAAACCACTAAGGAAGTAGTAGTACGCAATATTTTACAGGATCACAGGATATTTTATCCTGGTGTAAAGTTTTTGAGTTAAAGCGGTAATGAGTGCAGTCGAATACACCTAGGAGTTGTGTAACCATTTTCATTTTACTAAAAACTGTGGTGTCCTAAGTCAACAAACAAATGTTATCGTTAACATTGAACAATCTTTCATTAAACCCGTATCTCTGGAAAGATATCGTTAACTAAAATCTAAAGAAATAGCTATATTTTACACACTAGACATGTTCCTGAAAATCCCTTGGAAAAATCTTGCAAGTTGTACCCAAAACCCCTGATTTTGTGCATAGCAGAGTTGTTGACACCATGCCTATTGGTTTGTTCAGAAGAACCTTACAGATTTCTTTCATAATAGAAATCGGTTTTGACTTTAAAGTTATTAGGTTATGGTTGCATTCTTTAACAATGACTTGTGTAAATAAAACAAAATCCATATAGATTAAATATAGCCTATGTGTCCATTTAAGTCATATAGGAGACAGATGAAAGTTTTCAGAACTTGACAAGTTGCATTGCTCACAAGACACTTTATTCATCATTATGGTTTGTTTTATTGTAGTCGTTTAAAGTAATAATGTTTGGAGTCCAATACCTAGGGATTTAAAAAATTTAGTTTAAAACTACATTAAATGGATACATAGTTTGTAAACTTAACCAACGCTAATTTCAATACCAATTTCATTATTTTTGATGAAATATACAGTTAGAGTCCAAACAAAAACATTTATATTATAATGTTTGCATGGAACTTTTCATTAACAGGCTGTGCATGAGTTTTTGTTTTTTTCTTCATTTATTTTTCAGTTTGTATATGTTGTGTTTCTCTATTCCAGGGCTGCGCTGATCTTCGTTGAATGCTACGCTTCAATCGTCGGATCAGATCTTCTTTCACACATATTTCCTTAAATTGAAAAACAAATTAAAACTAAATTTTGCTTATGGCTTCTGAAAGATTTACTTCACTTTAATTTTTAAAATCTTTACAGTACATTTTCATTCTTAATGTCGAAATAGGTTAGGGTTTGGTTCTTAAAGATTTTGACGAAGGGACTTTGCTAGGCTAGTTTTATCCAAGGGATTTTTAGTTTTTTTTTTCGTTTCTGGTAGTGTGTATTTTTGTCCAGGGTCCAGGAAATATGGATAAAAGGTGTTCTTTCATGATTTTGGCTAATAAGTTATATTGTCTGAGGATTAGAAAACTGTTAAGGGGAAAATGTTTTTTAGTGTTTTTGCTGTTTTATGTTAGTTTGTTTTATGAAAGATTCTGTTGTGAAATTGTTAGTTCTAGGGATTTTGTCAGTTGGATGATTTTGGGAATTAGTTGGTGAAATAATAGTGATTAAAGTCCACGGTATTCCGATTTGGTCTATCTATTTATTTCTGTTAGGGTTTGTCTTGGGATGGTCTTATACAGACATAGGTTGTTATGATGTAATTGAATAGGTTCTTATTAGTGTTGTTGGTAGCAGTTATGTTAAATATTCAGTGCAGGTTAATTTTGGTTGGCTTATTGTTGGTCTGGTTGGGAGGTTTAAATTTTGTCGTTGCATTTTAAAGGGGAAAAGATTGTCTGCAGTGTAGGTTCAATTCTGGAAAGGTGGACTAAGAGTTGGATTAGGTTTTATGAAGATGTACTGTATGTTTTTTGGCCTTGTTTCAAAATTTAAAATTTCAAAATCTTTTAACAATCGAAACAATTCTTTAACCAAATTTATCAAACTTTCAGGAGTTATTTAGTTACTGAATCTATCATTTGTTACAAAAGATCTGTATATTGTTTAACGTTTCAAATTGATATTTTATAACCAAATATATCCTTTGTTACTGTATAATAGTTTTTTTACTATAATTAAATAATTTGTTACTACTTTTTATTGTTTTTATTTACCTTTTTAGTTACATATTAACTCAATAAAAAATTTACTGATGCTTTAACAAATAAATTTAAAGTTTACCTTTACATCATCTTTTAAATCTTTCTAAAATGTAGGGAAAAGATCTCTCAAAAATGAAGGGAAAAGAAAAGTCGATAGTTTCAGATAAATATTCACCTTTTTCATATTGCTGAAAATTCTTTTTTCTTTAATTTAAAGTGTTGCGTTATAATTTTTGTATACTCTTTTTCTAGAGCAAGAAATATGTGGTAGAATAAAATAGAAAAATGCTCTCTTTTAAAAAATAAGTTAAGCTGTAGGCTACAAATAACAGTCTTGGTTTTATTTATTTTGAGCAAAGGATTCAAACGTTTTATAATTAAAAAAAAGAAAAAAATTGAAGCAAACATGTATGAAATCTATGATGAAAACACATTAAATGTAAGAGAACTTGAAGTACTAAAAATGTCACCTGCTTGTTTAACTTGAACTGAAAATCAGAGTGAATAGAAACTACAAACAAATAATACAAGGTGAAGAAGACTGGAACTGAGGACTATCAACATACTGTGGTAGGTCTAACATTTTATCACTTTTCAGTAGATTAGCTTACTCAATGTTTCAAAATTATCTCTTGAATCTTTTCTATCCTAGTTTTAGATTTTATTATCCAAGTATCAATTTATTCCGAAGTATTGCTAGATTTAAAACTAGCTCTTCTCCGACCACTTTTAGGTGTAAAAAATAGATAACAAATTCACAAAATGGAAAACGATAGGGACAGATTTTGTCATTTTGATGACAGTATTTTGCTTTCCCTTGCACTATGTAAGGCTATGATAAATTTATCTGATGCATTGAAAAATCTTATCAAATTCGTTAATAAATATATTTTAATAAACTTCAATAAATCAAGAATTTATATAGTTAATTTTTTTCTAGTTCAGAAACTTGAGAACCTAGCCATGAGATGTTGTAAACATAGTAGCAAATGAGGCAGAGCAATGGCTACTGCAAAATCTTTTGTTTTGAAGTTATTTATAACAGTATAAGATTAATAACACAAATCTGAGGAATATTTGGGATTTGAAAAGGTTACAGTCAGTCATGTTCATAGGTTGGTAAGATATCACATCAATGATAGCGACGGTGAGAGAAAGTGCTGATTTCAAGTACCAGAATACATTTGAGTTTTTGTTAGTATGAATGTATATAATTATAATATTATAGTTTGAGTTTTGATTAAATGCGAAACTACAGTTCAGGGGTATTTAATGTACATAGGCGAGAATTCTATAAGTAAAACATTCTTCTTGTTAATACTTGCTTTTATGGCCATGCCTATTATATAGTTAAGAAAAAACTGAAAGCTACATACACATAAATATTACTTTTTACATACCGCAAATATTAGTCAGACAAATATTCGATATACAAGTCACCAGTATAAAAAAAAACCAGCTCTAAAGCGCATCACTCAATTTTATAGTATGTTGATGATTTTATACACACGTCCATTAAATTATATTTTTTATAAATTTTGGGTTAATAACTTTTGAGTTGATATGTATGGTTTTTAATGAACAAGATGAACCAAATCCAACAAATTAGAATTATATCCAGTTTTAATAGTTTTCTTACCAGAAAAAATTCATTAAGTCATGTTGATTTCAACACGTGTGTAAAAAACTATAAATATGCATCATCGCTGCTAGCTAAAGCACAAATGCATTGGAAACGGTGTAAATATGTGCTTATGGCAATCCTTTTTGTAAAATACTGGTTTTGGGACCAAATTAGTGATATTCTAGAACATTCACCTTCTCAGTTTTAAACATGAAAAAGTTCATTGGTGTGAACACATGAAAGAAATGGAAACAAGATACACTTACATTGAAAAAACAGCTGATTTACCAAGACGCTAATGAGACAGCTGATTTGTCTATGTTGAAGTTATCATGTTTCTGTGTCTATGTTGACTAATGTACTTTTTCATGTCAAAAATATACTGTACAGCCCAAAGATACCTACTCTTGGCACCAAAAACTAGTTATATGAAATGTATAGGTTACCTCTAAGCTGACAATACACTATTTTTGCTATTTATTGATAACTCGGAAGAAACACCATCACAAATAAGATAAGATTTCCCGTATAGTTGACACAGTATCGACCTAGCGATTGTGGGAGCTTGCGCATTGTGTGTTGTAGTGTGGAGCATGCCGCATGATGAGACTCTCCGAGGCGAGACGTAACCGAGGCCAATGTTGCAGGCGACGAGCTGCCCTTCTACTCCGGCCTCTCATTGTTGGAAGTGGCCCGATACTACAGAAGCAATGCCGCTCCGCAACGAGAACGAAAACATGAAGACAACTTCAAGTGCACCAATTGTGGAAAATCATACAAGTCTAGGACGAGTTTAAGTCTCCACCTACGTCTAGAGTGTGGGAAAGAGCCCAAGTTCGCTTGTCCATTTTGTCCCAAAAAGTGCCACCAGAAGGGAAATTTAAAAGTGCACATTCATAGTAGACACAAGGCAGAACTCAATGGTGATAGTTCAGCCTGTAGTCCGGAATCTGTCAATGGTTCAGCGACATGGGAAAACAGTTCACCGCTGCCGGCATTGACTTTTGAAAGTGCAAATTCATAGGGAAATTGGTTTTGGTCTATAGATTTTACCCGCCAGTTTTTATCATGGGGTACATCAATCCAAGCTATTGTTTGCTTCTAATAGGTTTTAATTAATGATATAGTGCATTAAAAATTAGAATCGCTTAAGGTAGGCACTTTTCTACTTTTTGTTAAATATTGTTAGTTATTTCAATTAAAATGATCTAACCTTTTGCCTCTTCCAACTACTTGCTCCGTTTGTGCTAAAACAGCTGCACATTGCATTCTGACAAAAATAGTCAAGCTGCCTATGAGTATCATAACATTTTCAAATGCCCCGATAATAGAATATTTCTTGAGCTTAAAAAAATTATTGTAAAATGAATGCACCTATTTTAACATTCCAGAAATCAGCCTTAATGTCATTTTACCTTTGTCCAGGGGTTCACTTCAATTGTTTACATAAACTATCGTACAGTATTTTAATACTAACTGCAATCGTACAGTATTTTAATACTAATTGCAACCGTACAGTATTTTAATACTAACTGCAGACTCCTATAAGGATTTAAATAGCAATAATAGAAAATACGAAGAATGTATAGTTTGGAAATGGTAAACATCACTTTGAATACCAGTTTCCACAATATTGAGTGATTTAATTAGCGTAAAAAACTCTTTATTTGTAAATAATTTACCTAAGGCCAAGATAAAAAAAACAAACATGCCAATATAACTTTTTCATTCTTTTATTGAACAAATATTGCATGATAAAGCCTAAATAACAGTAGGCCTATTGTATTACAAGCGCACTACTATTTATTTGAGCCACTAAAAGTGAACTATTCAAGAGTTACTAGTCACTTTATTTTTTTCTTTAAAATCAATGCACTTAGATGCTTGTTTAAACTATGTATACCGTATTTAATATTTTTTATGAAACAATTTTCCTGAACGGTATTTATTTTAACTAGTATTGTTAGATTGTGAATATAAGCATCCTATAAAATATACATATATTCAGAAATTTTGGACTTTTATTTCCCGCCAAAACAAGTTATTGTTGATTGTCCATACATTAAAACACCCATATCTGCTGGCCCGACAACCGATATGTTCCATTCAACAAAAATTGTCCCATTCCCTGTTCTTCTTAGGGATTGTACAGTACATTTTCATGGTGGTTTTATATCATACATTTATATTTTTAAGTTTGCTAAATAAATTGCTATGATTAAATAACATTTCAACACCAACTAATTAATACCTAAACAGTTTAATTTATCTATTTAAATTACTTAAACAATACAAGGCTTTACTGAAATTAAGGTCTCAAACAAGCGAGCTTGTCCAAAGCTCGAAGCTGAGACCAGTGCTGTGTTCTTTACTTCACCTACTAAGCGAAGATTAGTCTAGTCATATTAACCGATAACAGTGTGAAGTAAATAAAATATTCGCTCACGCCAAGTACAAATCATGTTCTGTACTTAGATTTTTTTGGTCTAAAAGTCGTTATCCACTGAAATCTATCGCTATTTGACTGACATGGGTAAAGAAAATTGGTTAGATATAGGAAATTTGAGTAAAAGGCAGACAAAGTTTTGTGATGAGCTTCAACAATTGCAGAGTGACAATTTAATGACACCAGGTCAATTTCAATTCTATCGTTGAATAATGTTGGTTACTGCTTGATGTTTTGATATTTTCTTGCGGATCTTGCTATGACTAAACAGTTTGCTGAACAGATAGGAGACGACAGTAACTGTTTTAGTCTTAATCATGCCAATCAATTAGAAAGGTTCTCGGAATTATAATTACTGTCTTGATTCAGATTGATGATTACCCGCCAGAGACCTTGTGGTCAAATTGGTACAGTCGTCTGCAATTCCGAAGCCACTTGAAGCACATCTACATTGTAACAACCTTTCACACATCTCACAACTTGCAACTGATTTCAATAGGGGCTGACACTTCTTTCCATGGAATTATAATCATATACTGTAATGTAACATCTACTTGGCGGCTGCGTACATTTTTTACATCGAGTTCAGCTACCATGGCGAGACTCATTGTTGTATAAGGGTAGAAACCGGTATAGAATAGTAGTGAGTGAAAAAAGTAAAGAACACAGCATTGGTCTTAGATTAGAACTAGCTTGTTTGACCGTGATGGGAGTTTGTAGGAGATCTTAATTCATACACAGCTCTCGTAATGATCTAAACCACTGTTAAAAGATTTTAACTTTCCTATCTTGCTATGTCCAAAACCCTGCATTTTATTTCCACGCCACTTAAGTCCACAGGAAAAAGCTTGCTTAAATTATTACTATACAACTTCAACAAGTTTTCTTATTTTTGTAATACATAATCAGGCTTTTGTACATCAATCTTTCCTTTTTAGAAAGGCTCATTCACAAATTGCGACTTTGGGGTCTAGTGGTTAGAATGTAATACTATCCTATTGTTAGTTCAAATAAAGAAGACGATGGGAATGGGACCGACAGCAAATGAATAGAAACCGCTGGTCGATTCCATCCCCAACCGCCTTCGTTGTTTGTACAAACTTTAGGGACCCAGGCCTAAATCCCTCACTGATGGATTTAAGCTATGTGATTCGGTTAAGCTGCAAGTCCCATATAAGCTTAGTAAATAAAATCTTTCTGTGTGCTTGAGAACCTTTCCTTCATAAAGAATCATGATGCATAATTACTTTTTTAATGGCAGTACAAGGAAATGTATAGTCCTACGGTTCCTTTAGTTTTGTGTCTTCACTCCTAGAGAAAAAAGACTTGAGCCTCAGACAATGACTTATGTACATTCAAGTGTCAATCAACTGACTGCAGCAAAGTCAGATAAAAAAAAAATGTTGGCCAGCACAAAAAGCAATAAAACACCATAGTAATAAATGTGTTGGTTATCATAATAGTTATTCCTTTGTGAACCCTATTCAAGGTTTTACACAACTTTTCAATTGAAACCAGTAACTTTTTCCGTTTAATACATGATCACAAATAATACAAAAATGAAAAAACTAAAAACATCAATACTGTAAAATTCTCAAAAAAATGTATTACTGGGCCACAGCCACAGGTCCTCTAATGAACTGTGACTAAGGTGTGAGAGACAAACCGTGAATTATAGATTCCTAAAGCTTGATGTGTAAAATGTATGGAGGGAGAGCAAAATAAGTTATGACGTTCCTGCATACCACCCCGTGGCGGTCGCCTTGCCTCGTAATACATGTTGAGTCATTGGTGTCTATATTATTTCAGAAGTTGCTTTTCTTTTGATTTTCAACCCATCACACGTTCGGTTGGCTGCTGCTCCATCTAACTTTCATAAGGGAGGCCGTACAAAATTGTCGCCCCCCCCCTTCCCCATTAAATGGGAGTGTCCGAGGTAGCTTTTAAAATTTAGGTACAAGATGGTTGAATTAACACATTTTGTACCTAAATTTTCTTTGCCTTTTTTATTTTACTGCAAAATCTTAAAAAAATGTGGTTTACGTAGGGCTTGAGCCCTCCCTAGCACATATTGGTGTACACAACCAGTGCTGCTGCTAGGTATGCATTATGCAATGATGTCATCACTTAAGCTGGGTTATCCTAGGCGCTGAAGCGGAGAGAGGAACGCGGAGAGCGGAAAAGAGATTAACATGGTGTTCCGCTCCGCTTCTAGGAAAACAGTAACATTAAATTACCTAAGACAAGTGGAGTCCGCTCTCCGCGTTCCTCACTCCGCTCTCCGCTTCCGCGCCTAGGAAAACCCAGCTTTAGTCTGGCCCACCTAATTTACTTCATACACCTTGGGTGCTTTTAAAGATATTTCATACAAATTATGCTATTTTGTGTTAACTGTTAACATTTTCTATGTTGCACTACACTTAAATAAAAAGAGGATTTTGTGAAGTTTACCTGATTTCTGAAATAAATTCTACTAATTCAGACAATTTCCACAATAAATTGCTGAACATATGTGACCTTTACAAATAAAAAAGGGAGTGAAGTAGACAAACAATTTACCTATCAGTTTTCTTATTTATTTATTTACTTAAGTAGTTTTGTAGAATTTTCCACATTCTCTTTAATAGGGTGAAGGGGTTTTGAGGTTTGAGTAGTGTTTGATTTGAACCCGTTAGGTTTAATAAAAAATTATAAAAGTTGTAGCTAAAAATTTGATTTGTTTTATTAGTAGAATCTGTATTGGCATCTTGCAATTGAATTCTTAATTTAATATTCTATTTTTTAAGTACATTTAAAAAGAGTCAAAATTCTTGAATTTATTCATTTTTAATACCAAAGAGTCTTTATTTTCTTTATAAGATTCCACCTTATTTTGAAACCAAGAAATATTGAGACGTTACTAAGTTAAACTAACACCACTACATTCTGGAGTAATATGAAGTTTTATTGAAGTAAAAACAGTTTTGTATAGCATTAGCTATACTAGCATACCAGTCGTGGCTTCGCTCACGAAACTTTCAATTAAAAAGTACTGTTTACAATTAACATAAGTTCTTCTTCTTCTGACTTTTAATTTCTGACAACAGCTGGAGTTTCATAACAATGCTTTTTTCCCATGTTAATCTTAGGCAGGGTGCACACTGGAGAAATCCGTTTCAGGAAACCGATTTCATGAAACGAGAAACTTTAGTTGCTCGCAACACATGGATTAGTTTAACACAGGGCAGTGCACACTGTGTTGCATGAAACTTTAATTTCATTGTTTCTTGAAACTAGTTGACATGAAATCCAAAAAACAGATTTCGTATAGGCTTCAGTTTCACGTTTCTATTAGTTTTATTGACTTACCTCAGTGTATTGTTATTTTGCCTCAGCACTCGGAGCTAACCTCCGGTTGGTGTCCTTCTTTGTTATTAGTGGGCTAAGTAATTCCACTAAACGTTAAAAAAGAGGCATTGGCATTCTGAAAATTAAAAAAATGACAGGATCACTGCATAATTAACGAGCTACAATGTAAGTACTGTGTTGACCATCCCTAATCAACGGGTGATTCCAATACTTCCTTCTTTTCGTTTTCTTTAGCCACCACTATAATCATCATCCGAATTCATATCACAAAACTGATGAAATCCAGTTTCTTCTGTGTGCATTTGTTAAAGAAA